GCAAAGGGGTCTGCCGTATTGCTGCTGCTGGCGGGAGCTGCCGCCGCGCGTCCACCGGCAGCAGCAGCTGCTGCTGCTGCTGTTGCTGCTGCAACGTTTCCAGGGGTGTACAGCAGCAGCAGCTGCAGCACACAAGCTGCTGACTGCAGCGCAGCAAAAGAGGAGAAGGGAAGCCCCAGCCGATAGACCACCACCTGCGACAATCGCACCTGAGCACCGCAGCAGCAGAGGCAGCAGCAGCAGCAGCTGCAGCAGCAGCAGCAGCAGCAGCAACAGCAACAGCAGCAGCAGGAACAGTTGGACAGCCGCTGCAGCGACGCACAGCAACAGCAAAGCCGCCGCAAGCGCTGCGCTCAGCAGCAGCAGCACCTCAGCAGCAACAGCACCTCGCAGCATCACCTCACCAGCAGCAGCAGCAGCAGCAGCAGCAGCAGCAGCAGCAGCAGCAGCAGCAGCAGCACTGCGAGGGCCAACTCACCTGTTCGTCGCAGTACTTTATAAAGAACTGTTTGCTGCTGAAAGAGTTTCTTTCTGTGTCTCCTTCGCAGTCGCTGCTGCAGAGGGGGGCCCCCCTGGGGGCCCCCCGGGGGCCCTCCCTTGCCCCCGGTGCTGCTGCTGCTGCTGCTGCTGCTGCTGCAGCAGCAAAGTGCATGCACGGCACAGCAGCTATTGCTGATTCCCCCCGCCAGTCAGCAGCCACGTTGTGCAGCAGGAAGGAAGGCGGGTGCTGCAGCAAGGAGACGTTGTCTGCTGCTGCTGCTGCTGCTGCTGCTGCTGCTGCTGACCCGGAGGACAGTCCCCCCGCTGCTGCAGCCGGCGAATCCTGGTGCTTGGATTGCTGCTGCTCAGCAGCAGCAGCAGCAGCAGCAGCAGCAGCAGCAGGCTTCTCCGCGTCGGCCTCTGTGGGGTAGAGGACTTCGGTGCTGGGGTGTACGTACACCTGAGCCTCTATTCGGTAAGTCCCCTGGTGCAGCAAATCAATATTTTTAAAAGAACAAAACTGAAGACACAACTCAAACACTGCATGCAGCGCCATTTCCACAAACTGCTGCTGCTGCTGCTGCTGCTGTTGCTGCTGCTGTTGCTGCTGCTGCTGCTGCTGTTGTTGCTGCTGGTGGTGGTGGTGCTGCTGCTGGTGGTGCTGCTGCAGGCACCGTTGCAGTTGATGCTGCTGCTGCGGCTGGTGCTGCTGCTGCTGTTCTTAATGCAGCCGTTGCTTTTGCTGCTGTGATACTGCTGGAGTCGCTGCAGCAGCAGCAGCTGCTGCTGCTGCTGCGGATAAACAGCTGGTGCTGCTGCTGCGGCGTTTCTGCTGCAGGCGCCGTTGCTGCGGCTGCTGTTGCAGTTGCTGCTGCTGCTACTTCAGCTGGGCTGCTGCTGTGCTTTCGGTGATTCCTTGCTGCTGCAGTCTCTGTCGCTGCTGCTGCTGCTGCAGTTGCTGCTGCGGTTGCTGCTGCTGCTGCTATCTTGCCTGAATCTGCAAACGCAGCAGCAGCTGCTGCAGCCCTCCCCTCTACCTCAGCAGCAGCTGCTGCGCAGGGAAGAGGGGCCCCCAGGGGGCCCCTTTGGAATAAGTTGAATAGGAGGGTTTGCTGCGGGGCCCCCTGGCGCTGCTGCAACTGAGGCAGCAGTAGTTGCTGCCTGCTTTTTGCTGCTGCAGCAGCAGGAGCAGCAAGTACGAAGGGCGAGAACAGCAGCTGATAGGAGAATTCAGGGCCTGCTGCTGCTGCTGCTGCTGCAACAGCAGCGCGAACGCTGCAGCAGCCGCAGCAGCAGCAGCTCTCGGGGCCGCCCAGGAGCTCTCCGGCTCTAGAATTTCTCCTTTTTTGAATTAAAATGGACAAAAATGACTCAAATAAACTCAATAAATGAACAAATATTAAACAACAGCTAAACAAAGCCCCCGCAGCAGCGGCCGGGGCCCCCCAGGGCTTCGGCAGCAGCCGGGGGCCCCCAGGCCAGCTGGGGTAGTTGTGGAGAGAAATAGAGCATTTAATAAATGAAATTAAAATAGTTTTTAATTATTTTATTTATTTGAATGAATAAAGAAAGAAAAAGGAGAAGAATGCCGAGAAGGGGGGGCTGCTCGCTGCCGCCCGCTGCAGACACCCGAAGGTGTATGTACACCTTGAGGTGTACATACACCCGAAAAGGCGAACCAGTGGCGTATGTACATTTGAGGTGTACATACACCCCAAATGGCAAACAAATAAAAAACTAATTCGACAAAGTTCGCAGAATGAGAGCTAATGGACCACGTGCTGCAGCAGCAAGTTCTTCAGGCGCTGCTGCTGCTGCTGCTAACCCATGCTGCAGCAGGCGCAGCAGCAGCAGCAGGCGCGGCAGCAGCAGCAGCCGCTGCTGCTCCTCAGGCCTGCACCTCTAGCTAGCCAGCTAGCTAGCTAGCTAGCTAGCTAGCTAGCTGGAACAGCACAGTGTCTGTACACCAATTAAAAAGGGACCATTTCTAAAAGAAGAAAAACCTGTTGTCTTGTGTACATACACTGCTGGTCCTGCAGAAGTGGAAAAGTGCAAAAAAGAAACTAATTAATTAAATTAAATAATTAATAAAACAATTAAATAAAATAATAAGCTAATTATTTATATAAAACAAATTAATAAAACAATTAAATAAAATAATAAAAATGATTTTAGAAAACGTGCAGCCGAGGGCATCAGCAGAGGCGCTGGGGTGTATATACACCTGAAATTAATTAAGTTGGACTCCAAGAAGAAACTTGAGGTGTACAGACAGCTCCAATTTAGTCGCATTAAATTCAATTAAAGGCCGTTCGGGTGTATGTACACCTGAAATTAGTTAAATTGGATTTAATTCGGGTGTATGTACACCTGAAATTAATTAAATTGGATTTAATTCGGGTGTATGTACACCTGAAATCAGTTAAATTGGATTTAATTCGGGTGTATGTACACCTGAAATTAATTAAATTGGATTTAATTCCGGTGTATGTACACCTCTAAATTCAAATACACTTTTCGTTTTCATGCTGCAGAGCTCCAGTGTCTAGACACCCTCTCTCCTTGCGCGCTAGGGTTTAGCGTTTAGGGTTTAGGGTTTAGGGTTTAGGGTTTGGACGCTGCAGCAAGTGTAGGCGCCGGCTGAAGGAGGGCCACCAGCAAACCCTAAACCCTAAACCCTGAACCTTGACACTAAACTCTAAGCCTTAAACCCTAAACCCTAAACCCTAAACCCTAGCTGGCTGGCGCTGCTGCAGCACCAGAGCAGCAGCAAATGCATGCGCAGCAGCTCCGCTGGACACTAAAAAGCCCCAAAGGCTGGAAGCTGCTAGCTGCTAGCTAGCTGCAGCTAGCTAGCTCCTTGCTGCAGCTAGCTAGCTACTTGCTGCAGCTAGCTAGCTACTTGCTGCAGCTAGCTAGCTGCAGCCGGCTAGCCACAGCTAGCTAACCAGAGGCAACCAGCCCTAGCTAGCTAGCCACAGCTAGCTAGTCACAGCCAGCTAGCCATAGTTAGCTAGCCATGGCTGGCCGGCCACAGGCAGTTACACATGGCTAGCTAGCCGTAGCTAGCTAGCCATGGCTAGCTAGCCACAGCTACACAGCCACTGCTAGCTAGTCAGCGCTAGCCAGCCACGGCTAGCTAGCCGAAGTAAGCTAGCCGCGGCCAGCTGGTGGCAGCTAGCTAGGCGCAGCTAGCTAGCCACAGCAAGAGAGCCCCAGCTAGCTAGCTGCAGCTAGCTACCCACAGCATGAGGGCCCCAGCTAGCTAGCTGCAGCTAGCTAGCTGCAGCTAGCTAGGCTCCATTGGCAAGGCACAGCAAGGGAGCCACAACCAGTGAGCCACTCTCAGCCGCCAACAGCTAGCTAGCGGTAGCTAGCTAGCAGCAGCTAGCTAGCCATGGCTAGCTAGCCGCAGCCTGCTGGCAGCAGCCAGCTGGCAGGAGCCAGCTAGCCGCAGCTAGCTAGCCGCAGTTAGCTAGCCGCAGCTAACTAGCCGCAGCAGCAGCTAGCTAGCCGCAGCCCCAGCTAGCTAGCCGCAGCTAACTAGCCGCAGCAGCAGCTAGCTAGCCGCAGCCCCAGCTAGCTAGCCGCAGCCTCAGCTAGCTAGCCGCAGCCCCAGCTAGCTAGCTGCAGCTAGCTAGCTGGGGGGCGGGGAGTGGGGTCGCTGTGGGGCCCCGCGGGCTTTGCATGCAGCAGCAAAGCAGCCCCAAGGGGGCCCCCCGGCCCAATTTCTTGACCATTTGCTGCTGCTGCTGGGCCTTTCTGACTGTTTGCTGCTGCTGCTGCTGCTGGGCCTTTCTGACTGTTTGCTGCTGCTGCTGCTGCTGGGCCTTTCTGACCATTTGCTGCTGCTGCTGGGCCCCTCAGCAGCAAATGGCGGCTGGGGGCCCTCCAAGGCCTGCTGCTCAGCAGCAGGTGTGGGGCCCCAGGTGTACAGACAGCTGCCGAGCTGCTGCTGCTGCTGCTGCTGCTGCTGCTGCAGCTGCTGCGCGCAGGCTGACTGTACACCTCAGCAGAGCCGGAAGCTGCAGCTGCTTCAGATTTTCACTTAAAATAAATCTAAATTTGTTTTAAATGGATCAAATTAAATGCATTTTATAAAAAAAGAAGAAAAAAGAAATAAATGCAGATTTTCGAAGCTGCAAAAGGGTACTGGGGGCCCCCGGGGGCCCCCTGGGGCGCCTGGGGGCCCCCAGGCGCCCCAGGGGGCCCCAGCTGCTGCTCTCCTGGGCCGGTCTTTTGGATGAGTGTACAAAACCCTAAACCCTAAACCCTGAACCCTAAACCCTAAACCCTAGATCTTTAATTTGGGGCCCCGAGGCCCGCAGCGCCGCCTCTACAGTCGCTGGGGGCCCCAAGGGGCCCCCGAATCTGCAAAGGCGGGGGCCCCACGATCTTCCGCAGCAGCAGCAGGAACAGCAGCAACTGCAGCAGGAACAGGGGCAGCAGCAGCGGGGCTAGCAGCAGCAGCAGCAGCAGCAGGAGACGCTTCAGCTGGGGCGAGCAGCAGCAGCAGCAGAATGCTGGTCCCTGGGGGCCTCCCGCTGCTGCTGCCCCCACTGGGGGCCCCCCCAAGGGCCACCCTAGCGAATTGTCTCCGCTGCAGCAGCAGCAGAATCACCATCCGCAGCAGCAGCAGCAGCAGCAGCAGCAGCAGCAGCAGCAGCAATGTGCTGCCCTTTGGGGGCCCCCTGCGCCTGTCTGCTTCTCGCCTAAGGCATGTGCCCGGCGCCAGCCGCATGCGCTGGCCCTACCAGCCCCCTGCTGCTGCTGCTGCTGCAGCAGCAGCAGCAGCAGCAACAGCAGCAGCAGACTGGAGAGAGATTGTGCGAGTGCCCCTCAGGAGTCCAGACACTGGAGAGCCCATTGACTGGCTCAACGAGGCCCCAAAGTCCCTGTAAGTCACCCCACACACTAGGGGGCCCCCTTGGGCCCCAGGGGGCCCCCCTGGGCCCCAGGGGGCCCCCTTGGGCCTCAGGGGGCCCCATTGAGGTTCTGAGTGGTCTTAGAGGGGACTTTTAAAGCTTTAGGGGGCCCCAGGGGAGACTCTTAAGTAGTTAAGGGGTCTAAAGGGCTCTAGGGGGCCCCCTGGTACCCTAGGGGGCCCCCTGGTACCCTAGGGGGCCCCCTGGTACCCTAGGGGGCCCCCTGGTACCCTAGGGGGCCCCCTGGTACCCTAGGGGTCTGTTGGGGCCCCAGTTGGGTGTTGGAGGCCCCCAGGACGTGCGCTGCTGCCGCTGCTGCTGCTGCCGCCGCCGCTGCTGCTGCCGCTGCTGCTGCTGCTGCTGCTGCTGCTGCTGCTGCTGCTGCTGCTGCTCAGGGTGGAAGGAGCTGCTGCTGCTGAAGAAGTGGTGGAAATAAAAAACTTGCCGATGGGGAAAACCCCACAGTTCCTTCAAGAGAGGTTGGCGAGGGTTTTGAGTCGCTGCGGAGGTGTACGTACACCCCACGTGCTGCAGCACACTCGCGACCCTTTCCAGCCCCAAGGCAGCGCCTACGTCGCCTTCGCAGAGTCCGCAAACCCTAAACCCTAAACCCTAAACCCTAAACCCTAAACCCTAAACCCTAAACCCTAAACCCTTTCCAGCCCCAAGGCAGCGCCTACGTCGCCTTCGCAGAGTCCGCAAACCCTAAACCCTAAACCCTACACCCTAAACCCTAAACGCTCTTTGGCTCGAGGGGGCTGCTTACGTCTCTTACCTCGAGTCCGCAAACCCTAAACCCTAAACCCTAAACCCTAATCCTAGACTCCCCGCTCTGGCTACACTTGCTGCCGCAGCGTAGCCTTCGCAGTCAGTTTCCCCCCCTGCTGCTGCTGCTGCTGCTGCTGCTGCTGCTGCTGCTGCTGCTGCTCAGCCGCGCTGCTGCGCTGCGGGCCGTGCGGCTGCCGCTGCGGCTTCCGGTGTCTCTACACTCCCGCGTGCTGCAGCTGCAGCACGTGGCTTCTGGCTGCTGCAGCGACGAGGTGTACATACACCGCAAACTGGACGCGAACAGAAACATTCTTTTTCTCGCCAGGCCAGTCTTTTCCTCTTTTGTTTATTTGCCATTTTATTTAATTTAAAATGCATTTTAAATAATTTGCCATTTTATTTTATTTAAAATGCATTTTAAATTACATTTAAAAATATTTAAATGCTTTTTAATCTTTTCCAATTATTTAAATGTGTTGCATTCAATTCTGCGCTCTGTGGCGGGGCGATTTCGCCAAGTCTGAGGTGCGGGTTTAGGGTTTAGGGTTTAGGGTTTAGGGTTTAGAGTTTAGGGTTTAGGGTTTAGGGTTTAGGGTTTAGGGTTTGCAGGCAAATGTACGTGGCGCTCTGCCGCGAGGGGACCCCCATGACGATTTCTGCTTTATGTCAGCGGGCTTTAGTTCGGCCCCTTTTCGAGGAGCGATCGATCCCGCTCCTTGGGGATCGATCGATCCCAGCTCCCGGGGATCGATCGATCCCAGCCTCAGGGGATCGATCGATCCCAGCCTTAGGGGATCGATCGATCCCAGCTCCTGGGGATCGATCGATCCCAGCTCCTGGGGATCGATCGATCCCAGCTCCTGGGGATCGATCGATCCCAGGTGGTGGGGATCGATTGATCCCAGTCCTTAGAGAGCGATGGACCCCACACGGGTGGGATCGATCGACCCCACACGGGTGGGATCGATGGATCCCCGGGAGCTGGGATCGATCGATCCCCAGGAGCTGGGATCGATCGATCCCACACTCCCGAAGGGCCTGGAGGGAGGCCCGCAGCTGCGTCGCTCTTGTCTTTGGCTCTTGGCAAAACTTCTTAGCAGCAGAACCTTTCAACGAACTCTTCCTCGTTCTCAACGGTGAGCAGCAGCAGCAGCAGCAGCAGCAGCAGCAGCAGCAGCAGCAGCAGCAGAAGCAACAGCAGCAGGCGCTGCTGCTGCAGAGAAGCAGCAGCAGCTGCTGCTGCTGCGAAAAAACAGAAGTATAAAAGGCAGACACGGCGGGCGGGCCTCCTTCAAATTACTCATTGTTGCTGCTGCTGCTGCTGCTGCTGCTGCTGCTGTTGCTGCTGCTGCTGGCATGTCCACTCAGGTGACAAGAAGAGCAGCAGCGACAGCGCCTCCACTGCCGACACAACAGCAGCAGCAGCGCAGCAGCAGCAGCAGCAGCAGCAGCAGCAGCAGCAGCAGCTGCTGCTGGCTCCGCGGTTGGTGGCTCCCGAGCAGCTAGATGTGCTGCTGAAAAGAGGCAGCAGGCTGCTGCACCGCAAGCTGGAGGCGGAGCTGTCTGTACACTGGAGAGAGGGGAAGCCCGAGCTGCCAGAGTGAGGCTTGGGTGCTGCTGCTGCTGCTGCTGTAGCTGCTGCTGCTGCAGCCGCTGCTGCTGATGTAGCTGCTGCCGCTGCAGTCGCTGCTGCTGCTGCTGTAGCTGCTGCTGCTGTAGCTGCTGCTGTAGCTGCTGCTGCTGCTGTAGCTGCTGCTGCTGCTGTAGCTGCTGCTGCTGCTGTAGCTGCTGCTGCTGCTGTAGCTGTTGCTGCTCCCGCACTAGCTGGTGCTGCGACGGCGGCTCAGCAGCCGAAAAAGGCGGCCTCCAGAGTTGCTGGGTGCCGCTGCTGCCACTGCTGCTGCTGCTGCTGCTGCTGCTGCTGCTGCTGCTGCTGCTGCTGTTGCTGCAGTGAGACAAAGAAGCAAATTGACCGCTGGCTGCACAAAGAGCCACTGCCTGAAGAACTGCAGACATGGTCCCGCAGCAAGGACTTCTACAAGTAAGACGCTGTGCTGCTGCTCTTGCTGCTGCAGCTGCTGCTACTGCTGCTGCTGCTGCTCTTGCTGCTGCTGCTGCTGCTACTGCTGCTGCTGCTGAGGACTGCGTCTCTTTTGTTTCTTTGTGTCTCCAGAATCCACGATGAAAGACACCAGTTTAAATTGAGGCTTCGAAAAGAAAGAAAAAAAGCTGAGCTGCAGCGCCGGCTGCAGCTGGCAGCAGCAAAACGGCTAGCGGAGCAGCAGCAGCAGCAGCAGGAGCAGCAGCAGCTGCTGCTGCGGCGGCAGCAGCCGCTGTAGCAGCAGCTGTGCTGCCGATCCTGCTCAGTGGCCTAGTCGCTGGAACCGCTGCAGCAGCAGCAGCAGCAATAAGCTGCAGCAGTAGCAGCAGCAGCAAGCTGCAGCAGCAGAGACGGCGTGCTGCCCCCGAGAGGCCTAGGGTTTAGCAGCAGCAGCAGCAGCAGCAGCAGCAGCAGCTTATTGATACTGAGATAGTAACTAACTCAGCTGCAGCGTAGACGGCGGGCAGCACTTCTGTCTTTCCATTGCCCAAACCCTAAACCCTAAACCCTAAACCCTAAACCCTAAGCTCTGAGTCCAGACGAACAAATGCGGCGACGATAGAGACGGACTTCGGCAGCCAAACCCTAAACCCTAAACTCCAGCAGTTGTAACGAGACACTAAACCCTAAACCCTAAACCCTAAACCCTAGGGGTGGCGGAGGACCGCTGAGCTGTGGAGCGCAGCTCGCTGAATAGATCGGCCAAACCCTAAACCCTCAAAAACCCTGGGTCCTAAACCCTCAGGAATCCTAAACCCTAAACCCTCGCGGCCCCCAGCCCTAAACCCTAGGGCGCTGCACGCCCGGGGCTTTGGGGTTTGCTGAGGGTCTAGAGTTTTAATTAGGGTTTGTGTTTCTTTTGTCGTTGCATTTAGTCGCAAGGGTTTAGGGTTTAGGGTTTAGGGTCTAGGGTTTAGTTTTAGGGTTTAGACTCGCAGCCCCGCACGGCTTGGCAGCAGCAGCTGCGCCCTCCTTTGTCGTGCAGCGCTTGGGTGTAGGGTTTAGGGTTTAGGGTTTAGGGTTTAGGGTTTAGGGTTTTGAGTGCGTCAGCGCAGCCATTGGTGGGGCTCGAATCCCGAAGCTGTGTTTCCTAAACCCTAAACCCTAAACCCTCGGAGCCTCGGGGCCCCTGCAGCGTGGGGCCGCGCCCCGCAGCTGCTGCTGCTGCATGCGTTGCTGCTGCTGCTGCTGCCTTCTGTTTTCTTTTGTCTTCTTTTAAAGAACAATTTTTGCTGCTGGACTTTGTGGGGTTTGTGGGAGCTGCCTGTACACCCCAGACGCCTGCTGCCGGAGGTAGCAGCAACGCTCGCCGATCCCGCTGCTGCTGCTGCTGCTGCTGCTCTTGCTGCTGCTGCTGCTGCTGCTGCTGCTGCAGCTCTTTTGCTGCTGTGAGGGAGCGCCCAAACGAGAACAGAAGCCCTCAGCTAGCGGTTGGGGCCTTGAGGAGCGCGGGCTGTGGGGATTCTGCTGCAAGTGCCTAGGGTTTAGGGTTTAGGGTTTAGGGTTTAGGGTTTAGGGTTTGTCGACTATGGCGGGCGCCCCGACACAGCAGCAGCAGCAGCAGCAGCTGCGGCAGCTGCTGGAGGCCTCCCTGGAGCCCTCGACGGCGAAAGCTGCTTCCGAGCAGATCCGCCAGCTGCTGCAGCAGCAGCAGCAGGAGCAGCAGCAAACTGTTTATTTGCTGCTGGCAGATGAAGCCCTCAGGGGGGAAAAGGAAGAGCTGCGGCAGCTTGCTGCTGTGCTGCTGCGCCGCAAAGCAGCCAAAGCCTTCAGCTGCATGCAGCCCAGCCAGCAGGTGCGCGCTTCTAGGGTTTAGGGTTTAGGGTTTAGGGTTTAGGGTTTAGGGTTTAGGGTTTGGCTTCCCCCGCCTTCTCCCCTTCCCCCCCTCCACACGAAGCCCTCGCCCCGCTCACGCCTCCGCTCCCCCGCTGCTGCTGCTGCTGCTGCTGCTGCTGCTGCTGCTGCTGCTGCTGCTGCTGCTGCTGCTGCTGCTGCAGTCGGAGTTTACGGAGTCTCTGGTGCAGCGGCTGGGGGCCGAAGCTTCCAAACCCGTGAGGGTTTCTCTCTGTCACCTTTTGGCTGCTTTGCTGCGGCTGCCGCAATTCGACGAGGCGAAGACACGACACGTGCTGCAGCTGCTGGCGGCGCCGCTGCTGCAGCAGCAGCAGCAGCAGCAGCAGCAGCAGCAGCAGCAGCAGCAGCTGCAGCAGCTCCAAGTTGCTGCTGTCGAAGTCTTCGCCGCTTACGTCGACAGCGGCGACGGCGCAGAGGCTTTCTTCGACGAGCTCGTCCACATCTTCACAGAAGGTAAAATTAAATTAATTAAATTAATTTAATTTAATTAAATTAATTAAATTAAATTAATTAAATTAATTAAATTAAATTAATAATTAATTAATCAGTCTAATTAATCAATTAATTAATCAATTAAGTTAATTAATTGAACTAGTTGATCAAATAGTTCGCTTCGCGCAGTCGTAGCAGCAGCAGCAGCAGCAGCAGCAGCAGCAGCAGCAGCAGCAGCAGCAGTTTAGCCAAGTACTTGATTTCGCGCAGCAGCAGCAGCAGCAGCAGCAGCAGCAGCAGCGCGCGTGCTGCGGCGTGGGGTGTACGTACAGCTCTGGCGGCGAGCGACAGCAACGAGGGTTTGGCAGCTCCTTCTTTCGAGGGTCTCCGCGGCCTGGCCGAGGACGCAGTGGACCCTTCTCAGCAGAAAAAAGTAGGGTTTAGGGTTTAGGGTTTAGGGTTTAGGGTTTAGGGTTTGGGGTTTAGGGTTTGGGGTTTGGGGTTTGGGGTTTAGCCTGCGGCGGGGCCGCTTGCGGTGCAGTGGTTGGGGCGAAGCGCCGCTCGGCGTGCGGCTCGGCGTTCAGGGCCCGGCCTAGGGTTTAGGGTTTAGGGTTTAGGGTTTAGGGTTTAGGGTTTAGGGTTTGGGGTTTGTGCTGCAGCTGTTCGCACTAATGCCGAGAGTGACTGCAGTAATAGAAAAGGCGCTGCAGCCCGAGGGCGACGAGGCGGTGGCTGTGAGCGGCCTGGAGCTCATAGACGACCTGGTGGGCCTAGGGTTTAGGGTTTAGGGTTTAGGGTTTAGGGTTTAGGGTTTAGGGTTTGTGGGGCAGGAGCGTGCTGCGGGTTTCGTTTTTTTTGCGTTTTGGGTGGAATTTTCTGAGTGTTCCTTTGCTTCTTCCGAGCGCAGCCAGCAGTCCGTGGAGCCCCTGCTGCTGCTGCTGCTGCTGCTGCTGCTGCTGCTGCTGCAGCTGTGCAACGACTTGGTGCTGTCGGAGCCCGAGCTGCTGTCGCTGCTGACCTTTTTGCTGCGCCTCGCCGACCGCCCGGCCCTTCCCGTGGGCATTCGGCAGCAAGCCCTTTCGCCCATTCAGTGGGTGGCCAAGCAAAAGCCCCGCGGTAAGCAGCAGCAGCAGCAGCAGCAGCAGCAGCAGCAGCAGCAGCAGCAGCAGCGGCAGCAGCAGCAGCAGCAGCAGCGGCAGCAGCAGCGGGGTAGCGGGTGTGTGGGCGTCGCGGTTAGCAGCGTCCGGCGCCGCGTGCGCGTTGCTGCTGCTGCTGCAGCGCGTTGCTGCTGCTGCTGCTGCTGCTGCTGCTGCTGCTGCAGTGCTGTGCCGCGGGGGCTTCGTGCCGCTGCTGCTGGACGTGCTGGTGCGGATGGCAGCAGAAGGAGAACTTTCTGTCTCCGACTCCGAACTCGAAAACGAAGAACTGTCTCCCCACAGATTGGCTTGTCAGACAATCGACGCAGTTGCTGTTGCGCTGCCGAACAAGCACGTGTGCGGCCCGCTGCTGCAGCGGCTCGAGGTGTACGTACACCCCGCGCCGCAGCAGCAGCAGCAGCAGCAGCAGCAGCAGCAGCAGCAGCAGCAGCTGCTGCAGCAGCGCGCCGCGCTCACTGCTATTGGCATTATGAGCGAGGGATGCGAAGCTGCGCTCCGCCACAAACTCAAACACCTCATGCCCGTTTTGCTGCCGCTGCTGCAGCACAGCCACCCCGCCGTTGCTGCTGCTGCTGCGCTTTGCTTCGGCCAGTTCGCAGGTCCCAACTCCCAGGGTTTAGGGTTTAGGGTTTAGGGTTTGGGGTTTGGGGTTGGGGGTTGGGGGTTGG